ATAATATAACTAAAAAAAATTTGCTGTTCCCTGCAAAGTAGTCACTGTGGGCTGCTATTACTGACTTCAGTGATATTCAGAACATCTTAAAGACAACTATATTTATTTTTTGCAGACCTTGTGGTAAGTGGTTTTGAAAATGCTCAATGAGAGTGGATTTGACTTTTAGGAATAGTCACAAGTTAGCTGGCTCTAAGTCTGACAAACTCAGTTGGTAGCCAGTTAGGCAACACGGGCTTTCATGAATGTCAAGGCGATTGATTCAACACTGAAGAGGGAAACTCAGCCCCTGTCCTTAAGAAGTTGTGGTCCAGGTTGAGAGGAAGTCACACAAAAGACAATGTACAGCTGGGTGCAGTGGCTCACGCCTGTAATCCCAGAGCTTTGAGAGGCCAAGGTGGGTAGATCGCTTGAGCCCAGGAGTTCAATACCAGCCTTGGCGAGAGACCCCCATGTCTCTATAAAAAATACAAAAAATTTAGCTGGGTGTGGCGGCACATGCTTGTGGTCCCAGCCACTCAGGAGGCTCAGGTGGGAGGATAACTTGAGGCTGGGAGGTTGAGGCTGCAGTCAGTTGTGATTACACCATTGCACCCCCACCTGGGCCACAGAGCAAGACCATGTCTCAAAAAAAAAAGAAAAAAGACAATTTCCAATGCAGTTTCAATGCAGTTTCAAAAGCACGAAAAGAGTGGTGGTTCAGTACTGGAGTGGCGGAAATGTTCTTAAACCAGGTGAGAGCTACGGCTGCAAACTTGGTAAATGCACTAAAAGTTATTAAACTGTCCACTTAAAACAGGTTGAATTTGATGATATATAAATTATCACTCAGTAAAGTTGTTTTTAAAAATGGCTACTATATATGTGAGTGCAGATTCCCTTTAGTTCTAATTTTAAACTGTGGTCCTCACCACCTTTGCCCTGGGGAGCAAGGTGAAGAAGGGGGAGAAGAAGTTGGAGAAGTGGTAAAGTATAGGCTGGTCTTGCTTAGGTTCTGGTCCTGGGCCTGCCTTTAAGTGAGGGAAAGCACAGAGGGGTATTGTATATTCCAATGACATCACCACATTTACATTTTAGGTAGGTTTCAAGGAAACAGTCTGGAAGATGGCAGGACTGGAGGCTAGGAGGCCAGTTGTAAGGATATTATAACGGTCTTGGACAGAAATTAGGGAGGTTGGAGCCATGGGGGGCAACAGGGTAAAAAGGAAGGCGTAAGCGTTTCAGTCCTTAGGTACACTTGGCAGGACTTGGTAACTGGTGAGATGGGGATGAGGAGGAAGAGGAGAGTCGGGGAAGGCTTAGATCATAGGAGGGACAGCAGGGGGATGGACATGGAGGGGTACAGCCATGGACATACTTGATTTCAGATGCATGTGACTTCCAGGTGGACATAGCCAACTGGCAGTTACACATATGACTCTAATGCTCTAGAAAGACCCAGGATTACAAGTCTTAGTACAAAGTGGTGGTTAAGCCATAGCGGAGGATGAGATGAGTCACCGTGAAATTGTGAACTAAAAAAAAAAAAAACTGGGCTGAGGATGGAACCCTGGGGAAATTAACATTTGAGAGCCAAGGAGATGAAGAGTACATAGAAAAGAAAATAAAGAAGAATGTGAGAGAAACAGGAAGAAAGCCAGGAGAGTGTGATGTCAGAGAGCCAAAGGAGGCGGGGCATGGAGGCTCATGCTTGTAATCCCACCACTTTGGGAGGCTGAGGCAGGAGGATCGCCTGAGGCCAAGCGTTCGAGACCAGCCTGGGAAACATTCAAAAAAAAGAAAGCAAGCCAAAGAGTCACGTTTGACAGGAAAGGAGTAATAACGTCAAAGGTAGGTAAGACTGCAGAAAATAAAGGCTGAAAAGGAGCCCAGTGAATTTGGTTACTGACGTTAGCGGAAGAATTTCAAGAGAGGGGAGGGGAGGTGATGGCCAGGCTGCAGCAGGCCAGGGAATCCATGGTGGGCGTGCAGGAAGCAGAGACAGAAATGGAGCTGGCTGTTTGGGGACATCTGGGATGAGGCAGGGAGGAGCACGCGCTGCGGCTGGAGAGGGACAGCGTCTACAGAAAGCTTTGCTCTCTTGTCCTTAAGATGGGAGAGATTTAAGCACATTCATGGACTGAGCTACCAAGAAGAAGGGAAATGTCAGCTGCCAGCGAGACCTGTGGATGGCAGGGGCTGGAGAGCAGAGGGCCTCAAGTCAGGGTCTCAGGCAGGTACCAACAGGAAGAGGGTCACTTCATCCTCCGAGATGTGGGGACTAGAGGGTGTGTAGCCTGGAGCGAAGGGGAGGAGGCTGAGTGGGTTCTCACCTGCTGGCCTTGGGGGTCTTCATTTTGTTATGTGTGCGTGTGTGTGTGAAACAGGGCAGGGAGTTCTTTGTTGAAACAATGGGAGTTGGAAGTTTGAAAAGAGCGAAAAGGTTTAAAATTGTGATGATAGCAGAGGGAGGCTGATGGACAAGTCAATGTGTTGTCGTGAGTCATCCTTCATTCTTTTCCTTCCCTCACTCCGCCTCTCCATCTATCAGCAACATGTCTGTTCTGCTTCTATTTCCTGGGCCGGGCCACTTCTCACCACCTCCACTCCTACCACCCTGGGCCAAGTCCTGAATTTCTATCACAGTTTCCTTACAAGTGTTCCTGCTTTTTCTTCTGCCCCTTCTAACCCTTTCCCCACACCGCAGTCAGAGTGACCCTTAATACAACGTAAATCAGATCATACCACTCCCCTGCTGAAACCATCCAATAATTCTCACAGTGATAAGAATAAAATCTAAATGCCAAGCTATGTTCTGTGAGACCCAGTGTGACGCTTCTGCACTTTCCCTGGGTTCATGTGTTCCGGCCCCTCTGGCTGCCTTTGGTTTCCTCCAGGCTAGTTCCTGCCTCAGGACTTTTGCACTGACTTTCCTTCTGCTTGTGAAGTTCTGGTGGGATCTTTCCCATAATTCACCACCACGGTCAAATGTTACCTACTCAAAGAGACCTTCCTTGCTTCTAAAGGAGCACTACTTCTAATCCCTTAATCTATTTTCTATTTTTTATTGTATTTAGCAATAACTGAAACTATCTTATACATTTCTACTTGTGTAAGTTCTTTGCCCGCTTAATCCTAGAATAAGAACTCCAGGAGAACAGAGACTTTGCTTAGCACAAAGTAGGCATTGAATAGATATTGGCTGAATGAAAGGGCAATATTGAAAGCCCAATGGAGATTAGAAAGTAAAACTGCAGGCCTGGCTGATGGCTCGTTCCTGTAATCCCAGCACTTTGGGAGGCCAAGGCAGGTGGATCACGAAGTCACGAGATTGAGACCAGCCAGGCTAAATGGCGAAACCCCATCTCTACTAAAATAAAATAAAATAAAATAAAATAAAATAAAATAAAATAAATAAAATAAGCCAGGTGTGGTGGCATGCACCTGTAATCCCAGCTACTCAGGAGGCTAAGACAGGGGAATCGCTTGAACCTGGGAGGCAGAGGTTGCAGTGAGCCGAGATCATGCCACTGCACTCCAGCCTGACGACAGTATGAGACTCTGTCTCAAAATAAATAAATAAAATAAAATGAAATAAAATGAAACCGCAGTGGGTCAAAGCCATACAGTTGTCTGATTTTCTTCAATGAGGACCATAAAATTATAAGATTGATTTTTTTCCTATATGCCTGTTCTGGAGACAATTTCAAACAGGAGCTGGGTAGCAGAGGCATCTTTGTGAAAAGTAGAGAGACTCCCAGGATGACCAGTTTGGATGTTTATGTTCTTATTTATTTTGCAGAAATGTCCTCGATTTTCTAGTCTTCTTATACGTGGGTTGTCACGTTGTGGGAGGAAATTGCTGACTCTGTTTCTAGCCCCACAGCTAAGCCATATTATATAGGTGAAATCAGGTTACTGAGATAGGTCTGGTTTCCTTGGTGACCTGGGAGGTTTAGTTATATTTGAAATTGCTAAGAAGGGGGAAAACCTGATACCAGCGGTTCTGTGTTTTCCTCAGGGAAGGAGCGTTTTTCAATCCTGAGCCCTGGCTGAGAAGGTGACTTCTTGATTGGCGAGGGCTGAGGTCCCGCCAGCGGGATGACTGACACTTTCTACCTGCTCCCTGCTCCCAGCATCCCACAACCCAGTCTGGCAAATTTGTCCCATGCCAGCTCTGGGTGGCTGCATCGGGAGTCCTTAAGGTGCCCTGTCTGTTTTGGTTTTGCGGTTAAACACTGTAACTAGGGTGATGAGCAGTTAGGTGATTGTAAAACGTGCAAAACACCTTTCTTCTTGTAGGGATGACAACAGAGGGGCGTGCTGTTTTACAAATGGTAGGGCCACGCAGTGAACTCTTTCATGTTTTCTTTCCTTCTCAGTCGGTTTGCCAAATTTAAGCCGTAATGCCACTGGTGCCCAAGGGCTCTACGCAAACATTGATCACAGTACTTTTACAGTGTTTATTTCATTTTCTTTCTTTTCTTTTTTTTTTTGAGATGAGCCTCACTCTGTCACCAGGCTGGAGTGCAGTGGTGCGATCTTGGCTCACTGCGACCTCTGCCTCCTGGGTTCAAGCGATTCTACTGCCTCAGCACCCTGAGAAGCTGGACTACAGGCATGCACCACCATGCCAGCTATTTTTTTTTTTTTGTATGTTTAGGAGAGATGGGATTTCACCATGTTGGCCAGGATGGTCTCAATCTCTTGACCTTGTGATCTGCCCGCCTCAGTCTCCCAAAGTGCTGGGTTTACAGGTGTGAGCCATTGCACCTGGCTCATTTCATTTTCAAGCTAATATTAGGAGGTGGATACGACCATTATCCCTGTTTGTTTGTTTAACAGATGAGGAAATAGACTCAGAAAGGTGAAGTGGCTTTTGATGTCACATATAGCTAATCAGTGGTGGGTTTGGGATTTTAGAAAACGTTTACTGCTTGTTGTATGTTGATGCTGTATTCTGAATTCTCTCCAAATACTGTAAGAGAAGGCAGAAGGCAATTCTTGCTTTCTGCACTTACCTGATACTCAGAGTCCACCTTATGCTGCATGTCCCGCAGATACTGAACATCGCTGAAGAACCTCTGCCTGGCCCTTGCTTCATGCAACATGATTCCTAATCCCCGACCTGCACATAAAAGAGACATACATGTGCTGTGATAAGAGTCCTTTGTTGTGTTGCCATATTTGGATTTATTTTCATGTCATTGCTTTTATTTGTGTATTCATCTAATTTCCCTTGTTTGAAAGGCACAGATGCTCCTTTCAGGCTAAAGGGACTTCTTGTGTTGCTGTTGATGCCCTTACTGTCCTCCTGTTCCAGGCATAAATAATGCAGCCACCTTCATCAGGCACGTCAGTGATCCTGTCCTGCTTACTCCCGGGGAGTTAGATTGACAGACACCTGATTCGGATCTAGAGCATGACACAAAAGAAAGCCCTAGAACCTAGCTAAATTAGCAATGACCAAAGTTACAGGCCCCTGGTTCCTTAAATTCATGTATGCAACAATGATTGCACCCTTATTTTCAACCAGGCATGGTGCTGGGCACTGGAGTATAACAACTAGCAAAGCAGACACACAACCCTCTCCTCTGTGTTGCTCTTTTTTTTTTGAGACGGAGTTTCACTCGTGTTGCCCAGGCTGGAGTGCAATGGCTGATCTAAGCTCACTGCAACCTCTGCCTCCCCAGTTTAAGTGATTCTATTCCTCAGCCTCCTGAGTAGCTGGGATTACAGGTGCCCACTATCATGCCTGGCTAATTTTTGTATTTTTAGTAGAGGCAGGGTTTCGCCATGTTGGCCAGGCTGGTCTCCAACTCCTGACCTCAGGTGATCCACCCGCCTCAGCCTCCCAAAGTACTGGGATTACAGGAGTGAACCACCACGCCTGTCCTGTGTTGCTTATGATCCAGGGTGCAAGACTGACTTTGAGCAAGTGAATCCAAACTATGATAGGTGCTCTGGAGCAGAACTATGGAGGTCTTTGAGAGTGTTATTACAGGAGAGTATAACTTGGTCTGGAGAGGTCAGGCAAGGTTTTCCTTAGGCGGTGACACTGAGTTTGACAGTGAGTTAGCTGAGAAGTGGGACAGAGGGGACAGCAGGTGCAGAGGGTTCAGGCATGAAGGAGCAGGTGCAGATGAGGAAGACAGAAAGGGGAGCAGTGCAGCTGGAGCAGAAATGAGGAGGGACCAGGCCCGGAAGGGCTGCAGGGGAGGCAGAGGCCAGCTCCAGTGGGGCCTTTAAGGTCATGATTCAAAGAGTCATGGGAAAGTACTGAAAGGTTCCAATCTGGGGAGTAAATAATTAGATTTGTGTTTTTATTTATTTGTTAACCTGTTAATTCTTTTTCTTAGAGACAGAATCTTGCTCTGCCATCCAGGCTGGAGTGTAGTGGTGTGATCATAGCTCACTGGGTACAGTGGCTCCCGCCTCGTGAGGTGAATCACTTGAGCCCAGGAGTTTGAGACCAGCCTCAGCAATATAGTGAGACCATCTCTATAAAAAAAAAAAAAAATTGAAAATTAGCTAGGTATGGTGGTGCATGCCTGTACTCCTACCTACTTGGGAGGCTGAGGTAGGAGGATCACTTGAGCCCAGGAGTCAGAGGCTGCAATGAGCCACAGTCACACCACTGACTCTAACCTGGGCAACAGAGCGAGAACCTGTCTCTATTTAAAAAAAAAAAAAATTGTAGTTTTAAAAGATCCTTCCAGTTGTAGTATGAGAATGGATGGGGTGGGGGTGACGGTGGTAGAGTGAAAAACAGAAGCAGGAAGACCACTGGGAAAATATCATAGTAGTCCAGCTGTGATAAGATCGTGACCAGCATCAGGTAGCACAGGAGGACGGGGATAAAGGGGAGAGAGAGGGGTCATGGCTACTCTTTTTTTTTTTTTTTTGAGACGGAGTTTTGCTCTGTCACCCAGGCTGGAGTGCAGTGCCATTATCTCATCTCACTGCAACGTCTGCCTCCCAGGTTCCAGCAAGTCTCCTGCCTCAGCCTCCCAAGTAGCTGGGATTAGAGACACGCACCACCACAGCCGGGTAATTTTTTATTCATAGCAGAGATGGGTTTTCACCATGTTGGCCAGGCTGATCTTGAACTCTTGACCTCAGGTGATCTGCCTGCCTCAGCCTCCCAAAGTACTGGGATTACAGGCGTGAGCCACAATGCCCGGCCCATCGTTGCTCTTTACTGAGCCTCTGGAAGGGCTAGGCCTTGTTTTAAGCAGTTACACAGATGAACTCATTCAATCTTCTCAACAACGCTATGAGGCCGGCACTACATCTCCATTTTGCAGGTGAGGAAACTGAGGCCCAAAGGGATTAAGTAACTTGCCTTAGGTGACAGAGCTGGTGAGTGGAAGAGTTGGGATGTGAACCCAGAGAGTCTCGCTGCAGTGCCCACACTCTTAACCAAGGGATTCAAAGGACCTTGGGAGAGAAAGTCTTCAGGGCTTGCGATTATCTGGATGGGCCAGGGGGTGGGGGTCTCAGAGATGCCCAGGTGAGTGGCTTGAGCAGCCAGTGGGTTGGTGCCAGCATTCCCTTCAGAAAACACAGGAGGAGCTGCTTTGTGAGGAAACAGCACGGCATCCACGTCTGGGCGCAGCAAATGGAGATGCCAAGCTGGCTGTGGGACGCAGGGCTCGGGAGTTGACTGGAGAGGTAGGTTTGGGCATTGCTGGGATTCTGTGATAATTGAAGTTGAAGGAAGAATGGGAATGAAAAGAGAAATGAAAAGGGAAAGAGGACATGGGACAAAACCGTGAGGAACACTCATCGTTAGAGAACAGGCCGCTGATGAGAAAAGCGAGAGGTAGGAAGAGGCCAGGTGGGTGCCGTTCCAGGGATGCTGAGAAGAGAGAGTTTCTAAAAGGAGGCTATTAATAACCTTGGTGAGAGCGTTCAGTGGAGCAGTGGGGCTGGGAGGGCTGCGGAAGGTTGCGCGGATGGGAGGTGAAGGCATGGACAGCATGCTTTCAGTAAGTGTGGCTGTGATTGGCATGGCCCAAGTTTATGGCCAAAATATTTAAGCTCACAAAGGGATAAAATGGCATTGCTAATAATGACTCTTCACCTATGGGGTCATCAAAGCCCCCACCTATTCCGTGTGACAAGGAAACAGCAGGGTGGGACAGGCGACATCTCTACCTTCAGGTGTATATGTTCTGTGGCTTTCCTTCCCTCCTCTTGTTTATTCAGTTGTAGATATTGGCAGTCAGGCTGCCCCTGACTCATGGTGACCCAGTGTCTGGTCTGGTAGTTACGAAATCTCACACGGTTTATTGTTTGGCCCTGAACAATGGGGAAAACTGTACAGTCTCTTGGGGGTTCTTTTCTCTGGAGTATGGAAAGTTGGTCTTTGACAGTCAGAATCTGAAACTACAGCCTAATGTGTAGTTCCAGTCTACACACAAAACCTAAATGCTGTCTCTGAGCATTTTAATAGTCATTTATGGGACTATGTTTTAAAATATGACTTTTAGCGTTTCATCCGAATGTGTACCTGCATAGAACGAAGTTACACTTTCACTCTTTTCAGAAAATGATGATGTTGAAACGGCAGGAGGATGAGTCCCTGCTGTTACTGTTGGAAAGAAATGCCTGTCTGAATCTTAATCAGGCAGAGACCATAAGGACTCATAATAAAAACGTTAATGGTCACTAAAGGGGCGCATCCCAGAATCCACTTGGATGATACATTTTTGTTACAAAGTTAATACAGACAGCCAGTTAATCTATCATGGCTTTAGTGCAGGGTTAATTTAAGGAGGCTTCTAAGTCAAGAGGCATAAAATAACTTTGTCTAAATAAGTAGGAGGTAGCACCCTTTCAATTACTTGCTAAGTTGCCTCTGACTTCACAATCACCTACCAAATAAAGGACTTTAAAATTGCCTACAGGCGGATGGCTCACCTCTGTAATCCCAGCACTTTCAGAGGCCTGAGGTGGGTGGATCACTTGAGGTCAGGAGTTAGAGACCAGCCTGGCCAACATGGCAAAACCCCATCTCTACTAAAAATACAAAAATTAGCTGGGTGTGGTGGTGTGCTTCTGTAGTCCCAGCTATTTGGGAAGCTGAGACAAGAGAACTGCTTGAACCCGTAAGACAGAGGTTGCAGTGAACCGAGATTGTGCCACTGCACTCCAGCCTGGGCAACGAGGGAGATCCGTCCCAAACAAATAAATAAAAAATTAAAAAAAAACTTACCTACAGAAGTCTCTTTTCCTTCCCATAAACTCTCTATTTCATTGTATTTCACAATATTTAGAAGCGTCATGTCACATGTAATTTTTAATTTAAATACATTAAGTCTTTATGAGATTAAACAAATATGAGAACCAAGAAAACGGGGTATTAGTGAGAGAGCAAGATGGTAGGTTACTCAGTTTAAGCAAACATTCTCTGTGTTTGCTTGAACTTCATACCGCACTCCAAGTATGAGAAACTGACCAGGATGAACAAGAAACAGAAATAACTGTATGGAAATAAATCTACATGAGATAATACTTAATTCACAGATCTCAGCTTTGTGGGCCTACTCAACCAGATGGCCACTTGAAGCCAAGAATTTTTCCCCAGCAAACACAGAGGGTTGGGGTGCGGGTGATAATAAAATGTGGGCAAGGCACATGTTTCTAAAATAGCACTCTGTATTCTCTTCCATCGCTCACCTTTGAACTGCTTCTTAATTTAAAATCCACTCACGGTCATGCACACTTCTGTTTTAAGCCTTTCTGATGATAATGTCTTGTGCCAAATTTGTACTTTAGAAATCAACATAAGAAACCATATTAAGTAGGGAGAGAGAAAGGAGGAGGGAGTTGGAGGCAGGTGGAGAAGGCGGGAGTCCTGTGCTGCTGAACCAAGAGCAAATAATTCTTCTTGGCCTCAAAATTCTACATATCTGTGAAATTTTATGGGGAATATTCTAAGAACTTTGTGACATACACATTCTTCTCTAGCGTAACTTTCCAATGAATTCCAACCAAGTTTTCCTGACTAAAGAGAACAGAATCTGATTGCAGAATGTTTTTCAGTGCCCGAAAAAGTCATGCGTACGTACCATCCTGTTTTATGACCACATTTGTCAAAAGAACTGATTTGAAGGAGCCTCT